TGGACTCAGGGTCTACTCACAATTTCATCTCCGAGTCTGCGGCGCAGCGCACCGGCCTACCTCTCCAACATCAGCCTCGCCTCACGGCTACAGTGGCCAACGGCGAATGGGTGTCTTGCGTGGGCGTCATCTGCCAGGCTGCGGCCACCATCCATGGCGATCTCTTCCACGTCGATCTTTTTGTTATGCCACTTGCAGGTTACGACGTGGTGTTGGGCACCCAATGGCTGGCGACGCTTGGGCCTGTCCTGTGGGATTTCGACGCCTGGTCCATGACGTTCCAGTGGCAGGGCCAATCCGTCTGCTGGTAGGGGGTCCCCGGGGCCGAGGCGCCCGCCGTCCGCACCACCGCGGCCTCACCGACCCTGCTAGACGAGCTGCTCGCGTCCTTCGACGACGTCTTCGCTGAGCCTCGCGGCCTACCGCCGCTCCGATCCCGGGACCATGGCATCACTCTTGTCCCGGGCTCGCAGTCGGTCGCGGTGCGCCCCTACCGCTACTCGACGACACACAAGGACGAGCTGGAACGCCAGTGCACCGTCATGATAGACCAGGGGCTCATTCGTCGGAGCTCTTCAGCGTTCTCCTCGCCTGTCCTCCTCGTCAAGAAAGCTGACGGATCATGGCGTTTCTACGTCGACTACCGTGCCCTAAACGCCATCACCGTTAAGGACGCTTTCCCCATCCCCGTCGTCGACGAGCTCCTTGACGAGCTCCATGGCGCCAAGTTCTTCACCAAGCTTGATCTTCGCTCAGGCTATCACCAGGTCCGCATGCGTGCTGATGACATCGCCAAGACGGCGTTCCGCACCCACGACGGCCTGTACGAGTTCCTGGTTATGCCGTTCGGGCTGTGCAACGCCCCAGCGACATTCCAAGCCTTGATGAACGACGTGCTAAGGCCCTTCCTGCGTCGCTTCGTCTTGGTATTTTTTGATGACATTTTGATCTACAGTGCTTCCTGGGCCGATCACCTGCGCCACCTACGGGTCATCTTCGCCGTGCTGTAGCAGCACCGGCTCTTCGTCAAGCGCTCCAAATACGCTTTTGGCGAGCGCTCCATTGCCTACTTGGGCCATGTCATCTCCGATGCCGGCGTCGCCATGGATCCCGACAAGGTGCTGGCAGTCTCCGCCTGGCCCCAACCCCGTTCGGCTCGTGCAGTGCGGGGGTTCTTGGGCCTTGCGGGTTATTACCGCAAGTTCGTCCATGACTACGGCGCCATCGCGGCTCCACTTACGGCACTGCTCAAGAAGGACGGTTTCACCTGGAACGACGCCGCCGCTGTGGCTTTCTAGGCCCTCAAAGCCACGGTCACCTCGGCGCCAGTCTTGGCGCTACCAGACTTCACACGGTCGTTCATCGTCGAGTGCGACGCGTCCACTCACGGCTTCGGGGCGGTGCTGATCCAGGACAAGCACCCCATCGCCTACTTCAGCCGACCGGTGGCACCTCGTCATCGTTCTCTCGCCGCATACGAGCGGGAACTCATTGGTCTCATCCACACCATTCGACACTGGCGGCCGTACCTGTGGGGACGTCGCTTCACCATGCGCACGGACCACTACAGCTTGAAGTTCCTACTCGACCAGTGTCTCGCCACGATTCCGCAACACCACTGGGTCGGGAAGCTGCTCGAGTTTGACTTCATGGTGTAATACAAGCCCGACGCACTGAACACGGTGGCGGACGCTCTCTCCCGCCGCGACACAGAGGACGGCACTGTTATAGCCGTCTCCGCTCCACGTTTTGACTTCATCAACCGCCTGCGTCAAGTTCAGGCGACTGACCCTGCCTTGCGCGCCCTCCGGGATGAGCTTACTGTGGGTTTGCGCGGCGCGCCATGGGCTCTCACCGATGACCTGGTGACATATGATGGCCAGCTGTACGTGCCACCGGCATCGCCGCTCGTGGCCGAGTTCCTAGCCGCGGTGCACGATGACGGTCACGAAGGGGTGCAGCGCACTTTGTATCGCCTTCGACGGGATGTCCACTTTCCCGACATGCGCCGTCTCGTCCAAGACTTCGTGCGTACCTGCCCCACGTGTCAGAGGTACAAGTCGGAACATCTTCACCCCGCAGGGTTGCTGCTGCCCCTGCCGGTTCCGACGGCGGTCTGGGCGGACATCGGTCTAGACTTCATGGAGGCGTTGCCACGCGTACGGGGGAAGTCCGTCATCCTAACGGCACAGCAAGTATTGCCATTTCATCCCCCTCGCCCATCTGTATTCGGCAAAATCTGTGGCTCAGGCGTTCTTCACCGACATCGTGCGCCTTCATGGAATGCCGCAGTCCATGGTGTCTGACCGCGACCCGGTGTTCACCTCCGTGTTTTGGAAGGAGTTGATGCGGCTCATGGGTACCAAGCTGCATATGACGTCGGCGTTTCATCCGTAGTCGGATGGCCAAACGGAGGCGGCAAACCGCGTCATCACCATGTACCTTCGCTGCTTCACCGGCGACCGTCCTCGCCAGTGGCTTCGCTGGCTTCCGTGGGCTGAGTACACCTACAACACAGCATATCAGACGTCCCTGCGCGACACACCGTTCCGGGTGGTCTACGGCCGCGACCCTCCTAGCATCCGGTCTTATGAGCCAGGGGACACGCGTGTGGCTGCTGTGGCCCAGACGATGGCCGCGCGCGACGAGTTTCTGGCAGACGTCTGGTACAGGTTGGAGCAAGCCCAAGCTGTGCAGAAGCTCCACTACGACCGTCAGCATCGCCATGTCTCCTACGCCGTGGGCGACTGGGTCCTGCTCCGCCTTCGCCATCGTCCAGTTGCGTCACTGCCAGAGGCGCCCAAAGGCTAGCTGAAGCCTTGCTACTTCGGGCCATACCGTGTCACCGAGATCATCAATGAGGTGGCCGTCCGCCTTGCCTTGCCACCACGCGCCCGTCTGCACGACGTCTTTCACGTCGGACTTCTCAAGAAGTGGGTAGGCGAACCACCTGCGGCACCGCCACCCCTTCCAACCATCCACAATGGGGCTGTGGTTCCAGAACCCGACCGCGCGGTGCGTGCTCGCGTCGCACGCGGCGTTCGCCAGGTCCTCATCCGCTGGAAGGGCCAGCCTGCGGCATCGGCGACATGGGATGATCTTGACTCCTTTCGCGACAAGTTCCCAGCATTCCAGCTCGAGGACGCGCTGGTAGTCGAGGGGGGGAGAGATGTCAAGTGGGGTCGTCCGTACGAGAGGAGACGCGCTCGCGACGTGCACCGTGACGTAGAGCGCGCGGAGGCAGCATGAGTTCCAGTTTGATTTGTTTCCTTTTATTTAGAAGAGTTGGTTTCCTTTTATTAGAAGAGTTTGTTTTCTTTTATTAGAAAGCCACAGGCTATATATTATTGTACGGAGAACCCTTATGGGATAAGCAATATACTATCATCTAATCTTCCATCTCTTCTCCCAAACAAGCCTAGGACTGCTGAGAGGGAAAACCTCACCCTAGACGACGGAACGAGGCTACGAACTCCGTAGCCGAGGGCCGGCTACCCTAGAGCCCGACGCCCTTGACACCTCATAAGACAATTACATAAGTGGGCGCAATTTGTTTTCCCATTAAGTTAGGTGAGAAGTATGTTTAATCCAGCCATCCCTATATAAAGAGAGGCAGCATTCAGGAATAAAGGGAACAAAAGAAATTACCTCCTCTCTATCGCTATGTTCCCTCAACCCACCGCCACTGTGGATAGATGAGGCTTGTACCTTCTCCCTTTCAGCAATTCACATCCACCACACAACAGCATGCCAAATAAACCATCGTGTTTAATCATAAACTCATACAACATCACCCAGGTACACTCAACTAGTTACATAAACATAGTCCTAGTATGTTACATACCACCCTCTGTCTCAAACTATAGATCGTTTTGGTTTTTCTAGGTACGTAGCTTTTGCTGTGCCCTAGATAAATGATATGTCTAGATACATAATAAAAATTGTGTATCTAGAAAAGCCAAAACGACCTACAAATTGGAACGGAGGGAGTACATCCCAAATGATCCACATGTCATTTATTTAAGGCTGTAGTTGTCATTACCACAATGATTTTTCCAGGCATAGAAATTTTAAAAAAAACATGCATAGTGGTACATATTACCAATAAAAGAAAACTTGAAGTGTATCAGGTTGTTTAATGTTTTTAGCTCTAATGTCTTTATTATTACAAGAAGGCAGTTCTCGACATCAGAGATATTTCACTGTTTTACATAAAACAAAAGGACACCATAATAACAGTATGCTTCCATTATTTCATACAAGACTGATAACATAATACTATAATAGAAGAACCTGATTATTCTATTATCACTGTGCTAATGAAAGTAACCTGTATGCTAACGGAAAATACCTATAAGGAAACACATATCATGTTGACATCATGATATGTGGGTGAGGTGTAAAATTAAGGTATCAATGCTATAGATTGCATATTTATGGCTTGTTTGGATCCATTAGCTGCTAATAGTTTGCTAGCTAATAGGTCACAACTATTATTAGCTGCTATTAGCTACTTTAATTCAACTAGTGAAATAGTTGTTAACTTGTTATTTGAGTATTCAGCTAACAATTTGCTAAACTATTAGCTAGACATGTTTGGATCCAAGGAACTACGAGTAATTATTAGCAGCTAGCTACTATCTCCTTTGATCCAAAAAAGGACCTTAATGCAAATACATTTAAGCAGCACCTTGAAGTTGAAAGCTATTATTATCTTAGCTAAAAATACATATATCTATACATTCAACCAATAACCACGTCTAGATGATTCATCTGAGGATAGAACAAGGGTACTTTATTACTAGGACATTGGATTACATTGGCGTAAAAAAAGACAGAAAAGATAGGATCTAAGATACTAAGGGGATATATGAGGATAAGAGTGCTGTGCACATGCATAAGTGTGTGACTTGATGATATGAACAAGACGGTCTAACCGTCTACGCACCCCTTCTTACCAAATACTCTTTAACATATAAGAAAAACTCATTGACATGGCTTCAAAGGAAGTTATGGCGGTGACCATCAAGTATGCAGTTCGGGGAGATGTTTCTTCGTTGATTTCCAAAGTGACGCCCCACAGGACCAAGATTCCCAATAAAAGGAAGTCTGTCCGAGTCCCCACCAATCAATGGCAACCTAAGTGGGCGCCTATAAGGACTGTTTCCCCAGCCATAGTTCCAAAAGGTTGGATTGCGCCTCTTCTGCCGTCTCTTACTGGCCTGCCAAACCTCTCCAAATATGGCCTTCGCAGTCTTGCTAGAGCCCTCACCATAATAATGTTCAAACTTCGGTACAAACTTCTTCCAAATACTATCATCTGATGCAAGATTCCTCATTTCCTTGCACGTGCACTCAACCTTTGCAAGATCAACCCCAGGTAGAAACTCCAATACCTTAGTCTTCAGATCAGAAGGCAAAGCCATCAAGCATGGAGGCAAGCGCAGACCATTCAGCTGGCACAATGATATCATTAATGGCAGGCAAATCTCATCCTTCAGCACTCTCCACAGATCATGAACTCCCTTCTCATGCACTCCACTCAGCTGATCGATATCCAGATAAAGTAAAGGCTCAAGCCCTGGCAACTCCAAGCACAACCGGCACACCTCCGACTGTGCCCCATGAACATACCCGTATACCATAACGAAATTGCCCATCAAGGAGTAGTTCAGCACCACCACCTTCCCCTCCTCAGTCACAGATAACATTGCTGAAAGCTCTGGTATGGTATACTTGATGGTCAGTGGCTTCAAAGCACCCGACGGCCAGCCCTGAGGCAGTGAGAGGTGAGACCCCATCTGAGTGGCGGTGAGAAAGCCGACATCAAGCAGAGCTGCATGTAAGGCCGCAACCAGGCGACCTGAAGCGGTTCCCTCCGCGCTGCCGACGTTGTTCATCTCCCTCTTGAGATCCCTAAGCACAAAACTCGACCAGCCCTTCGTCGCCTCGAAGGCCGCCTCCATCACCACATCCGGCGGATCGTAAGCGACCGGAAAGCTAGGGTTCACCACCATAGCCTGCACCTGTGACGACGAAGAGGAACCTCCAGTACCAGGTTGCTTCGAACCCTTCCCAGGGTCGACAGCCTCAGCGACCGACGCTGCAGTGCCAGAGCCCGGGCTAGGGTTCCGGAGCAGGGCCTGAGCCGGCGGCGCTAGGGCCGTGAGAGGGGATAGGGTGAAGAAGACGAGATCACCGGACGCGAGGCCGAGGGACGGGAGCTTGGCGGCGGGGTCCGGCGAGACGAGCTCCTCGCTGCGGTTGAGGGAGAGGCGGACGGACTCGGCGGGGACGGGCTGCGCCGCGGAGAGCTTCGACGCGAGGAGCGTCTTCACGTCGGACAGCATGGCCGTGGGCGGCAGGTCCACGCGGTGGGTCTCGACGGCGGCGGCACCGCCGCGCGCCTCCATCGATCGCAACCGGAGCTTCATGGTGCGGGGGATTTTTTTGTGACTAGGATGGATCAGGATGAGGATGAGTAGCGTCGCGGTGGCACTTGACTTTGGGAACGGGGGCGGTTGGCCAGAGAGGTTGGGGCGAGGGCATAGATGGCCAACGGGCCGGCCCGACTCATCACGACACGGGCCCGGGCCCGGCATGGCTCGTAGGGGTTGGGCCGGCACGGCACGCCGTGTCACTCAGGCCGTGCCTCTCAGGGCCTCGTGCCTAGCCTTCGGCCTAAGCACGACACTATGAGCCATAATTCGTGCCGTGCCGGCCCGCTAAGCACGGCCAGATCTGCGGGGCATGCCGGCCCAAAGCCCGGTGATCTTAAGGCACCTCAAAATGTTTCTCATCCAACACTTAGCACAGATTCATTCATTCAAATTTCAAAATCTCAATTCACAAGTCACAATCACTATTATTCACAGATTCAAACTTCTAAGTAAATGATCAAATGACCAAACTCAGTTACTCAGCCACAAACTGATCACAGATTCTAACTTCTAAGTCAAGAACTTAGCAAACTCCAACAGATCAAATCCAACAAAACAAAAGGCACCAAAGGAGATAAGATAAATGAGTTGTTTGCGTAATGCTACATCATTAAAAATCTTTCTAGATAAAACTCACCCTTATGAGAAACCCTAAAAAGAGAAAAAGAGTGCAGCACAACTTTTAAACTAAACCATTGTTAAAAGGTCTTACAGTCACAGTCTCACAGATGACAGATACAGATAACACTTTTCTCTCTCAAGTCTCACACTAATTCACTAAGTACCAGCACCAGCCCCAGTCCCCACTCCTTAAATAACACTCTCCTCTCTCAAGTCTCACACCAACTCACTAAGTATCAGCACCAGCTCCAGATAACACTCTCATCTCTCAAGTCTCACACTAACTCACTAAGTCTCACACTAACTAGCAGCAGCTCCAGATGTACCACTAGCCCTAGATGTACCAGCAGTAGCCCCAGATTCATCTTCATCAAGATACAAATTCTTGAAGGAGTCTTCCAACTCTAGGTTGTAAACAACATGCTGTAACCTTCTTTCTCCTAACTCCTAATCCTTTATGCAGGTCAGCATCTCCACAGTTTCAGACAACAAGCGTCGTCGCCGCTCTTCAATTATCCTTCCTATCAAGCTGAAACATGATTATGAAGAGACAGTAGAAACAGGAACTGACATAATACCTCTAGCCATTGTAGATATGATTGGATATGTTAGTTTGTGGTCACGTCACCAGAGAAGTAAATCAAAATCATCCTCATATGCAGTGACATTGTCACTGTCCAGATAAACTGAGAGCTCACAAACAGCAAAACCAGATGAAGATGAAGTGGGAGCAAAGGCAAGGGAAGGACCAATAATACCAGATCTAGGGCCTCCAAAGATTCTTCCCCATGTCTATTTTTTCTTACCTGTATGGCTTGCAGGATGTGCAACCCTTTGAGACCTAGCTGCACCAAACTTTCTCTCATATTTGTTAAACAACTTATAAAATTCAGTTTTCACATCAGCATAATATGAACTGTACTCACAATTAGTGGTCTCTTTAAGTAATTGCAGAACATTAAATAAACATCTCATCTTAGCTCTAGGATCAAGAATGAATGGAAATGAATATAACAGAGGTATATCCCGCCAGTATTTAAGGAATTTAAGCTTCATAGGATATACAATAGCTATTATATTTTGATCTTTTTCACTTACATGCAAATGAGAAGAAATCTCTAGCAGATAGTGCAGAATAAGTGGATTAGTTGGATAGTAAACACCAGAAAGAACAACGGTGAAGTCATAAAATAGTTCTAAGAACTCAAATATCTTTTCAGCTACATACCAATGCCTTGCAAACAATAATTTTGAGCCATAATTGGAATTAATGAACATAGAAAAAAACATGCTTATATGGAACCAAGTGTTTAAGCATAATGTATGTAGCATTCCATCTAACATCCATATCTAAGCCAAACTTTCTAGGTCTAACACCCTGAGCAGTACAGTAGTTCTTGAACATAACAATTCTTTGATTAGAGGAATTTAAGAAGTTAATAGCAGTTCTAAAATCTTATGTGTAAGGTATGAACCTCTTTAAACCAGATTTTACAATTAGATTAATGATATGACAAGCACAATGTTGATGCACAAGACTATACTTACGCTTAGAAGGATCTGAAGGCTCAGGTGAAGGACCAGGACCCAAATAACCAGCAAACATAGATGTCAAAGTATTCATAGCCTTAGCATTAGAAGAAGCATTGTCTAAAGTTACAGAGAAAACTATGTCAATCAGACCATACTTCTCAATCACACAAGCAATTCTTTTAGCAATATTATTACCAGAATGTTTCACCTCAATCAACCTAAGACCAATAACCTTTTTCTGTAACTTTCAATCAACACTCACATAATGAGCAACAACACTAATGTAGTCCTCCTTAGCATTACCAGACCAAATGTCGGAAGTCAAAGCAACAGAGGAAGCAGCAGACAACACAGAATTCTTAAGCATATTATGACGTTCAGTAAACAGCTTACTAAGATCTCTAGTGGTTGTCTGTCTAGATATCTTAACAAACCTAGGGTTATGAGCACGAACAATGTACTCCTCCCAGGCCTCTGTCTCACCAATACCTAACGGCAAATCAAGCCTAGCAATCAAGCGACACAACTCAGATCTATCAACTTCAGGTTTATAGTCCCAGTTATGCACAGAACCATCAGGATTGTAAGCAAGCCTAGGCTGAACCCTAGCAGCTTGATTAATTTTTTGCGTACAAGATTTCTAGTGCCTCTTCAAGTGGCCAGTGCCAGCAGAACATCTAACAGACAATGTATGCTTACATATTTTATAGGTAGCTTTAGTGCAAATCTACCTATCATTCACAGTCTCATAGGCCTCATCAAAATCAACCCACACACAAGATTTACGCTTACCAACAGAAGAGGTACCAGCAATAGATGGAGATGAGCTGTTAGAGGCAATCAGGGTCCCAGTCGTCGTTGCCCCTTCATCACCGTCGCCGTCGTCGCCATCTAGATCGATCGGAGCAGAGTCGCTACCAACATCGATACCGAACAATGCAACAGCGTCCTAACGGGTGTCATCATTGTCCTCGCCCTCGAGGGCTAGGCCTGGCGGCAAGACGACATCATCTTCAGCCATGGCGCCCTCATCGTCGTCCTCTCTAGCCCTGTTCCTCAATGGTGCTTGGGCCACCTTGGTTGCTCTATGCCACAGCTAGAGGACGACGCATCGGCTACCGACCTGCGCAAAGAGAAGAAGAAGGGTTAGGGTTAGGGTTAGGGTTCATACCTACGTAACCAGAGCCCGAGCTAGAGAAAGAGATGATGAGGGCGACCCATAGGAAGATGACACACCGATTAGCAACGACGGCAAGCGGCAGAGGAGGGACAGACGGGGACACGAACTCACATAATCACCGAGATCTAGAGGGAGAGAGGGAGAGGGAGAAGGGAGAGCCAGAGAGGAAGGGGATCAGGGTCAGGGTCACCGGAGTTGAGGAGGACGAACGCCAGTAGAGGAGACCGTGATGCGCGAGGCGGGAGCGAGATGAAAGAGCGACACGGCGAGTAGGGAAATGATTTAGGGTTTTGGGGTGAGGAGAGGGAGCGTTGCGGCCTCCCGCTTATATATGTGGGGCGGTAGGCGAGGGCGCGGGGCCATGACCACGGGGAGCCGTTGGGGCTGGCCGGCCAGCTGGCCGACTGGGCTAGGGGGATAATGGGCCACTTCCAGGATGACCGTTGAAGGCTGGGCCATGCCTGGGGTAAGGCACAGGCCTATCCTGCTACACCGAGCCGTGTTAGCCCGGGCCCGTACGTCACCAGGGCGGGTCATGCTCATATCAGGCCAAATTTGTGGGCTTTGGGTCGGGCCACCGTTGAAAGGTCCTAATATGACTAGAGGGGGATGAATAGCCTATTTAAAAATCTAGAAAACAACTAGAGCAATTTGATTAGTATAACAAATAGCGAAATGCAAACTTGCTCTAGCTCTACAAGGGTTGCAAGCCACCTATCCAACAATTCCAGTTGCTATGATCTCTAGACACACAATTTTCTATGTCACTACTCACTAAAAGCTCTCACACTTGCTATACTAAAGAGTTCCACTAGATGAACTTAAAACAACAAAGCAAGCTCTCAATTCTAGCTACACTAAAGAGCTTGCTATAGCTAGTTTGCGGGAATGTAAATGAGTAAGTGAGGTGATTATACCGCCGCATAGAGGAGTGAACCAATCACAAGAAGAATACTTTGTCAATCATCAAGAGAATACCAAAGGGCAAGAGACAGCCAATTTTCTCCCGAGGTTCACGTGCTTGCCAACACGCTACATCCCTATTGGGTCGACCAACACTTGGTGGTTCGGCGGCTAAGAGGTGTTGCACGAACCTCGTCCACACAATTGGACACCGCAAGAACCTACCCACAAGTGAGGTAACTCAATGACACGAGCAATCCACTAGAGTTATCTTTCGGCGCTCCACCGAGGAAGGTACAAATCCCCTCACAATCACTAGAGATGGCCATGAACTATCACCAACTCGTGCCAATCCACCTCCGCTGCTCCAAGCCGTCTAGGTGGTGGCAACCACCAAGAGCAACAAGCGAATCCCATAGCAAAACACGAATACCAAGTGCCTCTAAATGTAATCACTCAAGCAATGCACTTGGATTCTCTCTCAATCTCACAAAGATGATGAGTCAATGATGGAGATGAGTGAAAGGGCTTTGGCTAAGCCCATAAGGTTGCTATGTCAATGCAAATGGCCAAGAAAGTGAGCTTGAGCTGGCCATGGGGCTTAAATAGAAGCTCCCATGAAATAGAGCCATTGGCTCCTCAGTCCACTGAAAAACAGGTCGACCGGACGCGCAGGTCAGATCGACAGGATGTTGGACCCTAGCGTCCGATCACGTGATGTGTGCCACGTGTCCCC